CCTGGCTTCCACCAAAAATCATGAATGGGGGTAGCAGCTACCAGTCCCCCCAAAGAAGATAATACCACACAGAATGGGTACGTTGTGAGAAGGGAGATTGTGTGAGGACTAAAAACTGCAAGGCCTGGAGGGGGCCTCAATATATTTTGTTAGTTCAGAGAAATATTCAAAATAGGGATGCTTATCCAAACTGATTGCAGACTGTTGGAGAGTCCCACATTATTAAATTTGTATGCAAATTTTCCAAAGTTGAGACTGGTTTACTAGTTACTTTAGTTCCAGATGTAGTTCTGTGGGTACAGAATTCATAAGCCTTCAGGACTGCCAACCTAGCAGTTCCCCCCCCCCCCCCAATTCATTAAACAATCTTTAAATTTTAAAAAATGCCCCCTGAAGTGCTGGTCTGAGCCAAACCTCTCAGACATTGTTTCCCTGATTCTTATGACTCTGCTGTGCTGCTCTGCTGCTGTGACTCTTCCTTTCTAAACTGCTGAACGCTTCCTTTGGTTATTTTAGAGATATGGCCTAAATCCATGGCAAAAAGGAAATGTTAACTTTTGGATTTATTCCTCCTATCAACTTGTCACTGGTGTTTTAGTTTTTTATTTAGTTAGTTTAGCCCTTAGGGCAGACCCTTGGCCCACTTGACAAGTTGCTCTGCACTGCTCTGCTCTGCTCTGCTCTGCCAGCTTTAAAGTTGGCCTAAATGCTCAACTGGTGATTCCCCTGGCACTGGGTAAAGCAAGATGGGAGAACAGACTTTAAAATAAAACAACCCACAAACCTTAGAAAGCTTTGAAATTCAAAGCTAAGTAATTACTTTCTAATTATTTTAGCATGTAAAAATACAGAGTTGGAGTCTGATTTTTTTAAACCTGGTTTCCATATTTGTGGGCACAAATTTTACCCCCACAGTTAGTATTTGCAGCAAAGATTAACATGTAGCTGTCTGAGTATCAGATTAGCAGTCATTCTCAGGTGACTAGATGTCTAAATGGTAGCAAATGCAACCACAATTAATGGTATTGTTGCTCTTTGTAGTTCTCCCCCTGTGGTCCACCCAGACCAGGCACGCCCATGTAATTTTATGCTTGCAGCACCCACAATTGTTCGGTCTACCTCAGGGCCTGTAAATTCTCTCTTGGGACCATGTGGTGTTTATAAACTTCTGCATCAGTGCCATGTGGAGTTTATAACCTCTTGAGAGACCATACAAATAGACAGAAACTGCTTTTAGTAACATGCAGTCAAATTTTCAACAGTAGCCACTTGTGTGCCTCAGTTTTTGGATGTTCAACCTGAGACGCCTTGTGTCTGATTACTTAGATGTGCTGAGGAACCACAGTTCTCATTGACCTCTGAATCAAATTCCATATGGTTCTGGATCAGAGCTTTGTGGTGTGAGCCCATCTGTAAAGCATTTCACACATTTCTTGGATTAAAAGTGCCATGGGTCAGGTCATACCTGCACTATAAGTTGTTGTTTTTATTAACACATACAAATAGGGGAAAATGCAGATAATTTTAAGGATGAACTTGGTATATGTCATTCTACTCTGCTGTTAGGCTGTATCTACACTGGCAAAACTGCCCAGTCAATACATACTACTACTGGAAGTAGAGCCATTTATTTAATGGCCCCATATGCAAATCAGCTATAATGAAGAGCTGATGATAGCATTAGTTATGGTTTGTCTTCAAAATGGTTCCTCTTTAGGGAACATTATTGGAAGCATGGTTTTGATTTTAGAAATTCCAGATTTTTTTTTCCCCACCTTGGGGAAAAAATGCCAAAAAAACAGGTCAGGTACCACAAATTTAAACCAGACTCAAGCGGTATGTCAGCTACTATTTTGGCAGTAAAAGTTACATCTGCTCCTGAATTATTAGGTCCCTGTAATCCGTGTAAAATTATCATGAGATCCGGTGCTGTATTTACAAGGCTATAACATTTACAAGTGCTGCTCCTTTCATATAGGGGTGTGCAACAAGAGCAGTATCAGCATTTAATTTCAGAGCATTTGTACATAGCAGAAAATAATCCTTTCCCCCTCCAGTCTTTTAAACTGTAGTTAGGGTTTTGGAACAAATATTCAGAGCTGATTTTTTAAATGTTTTTATCAATTGTAATAACTAATGCATTTCTGGTACTATTTCTCACCACATTATGATATAGCAGGCATGCAACCAGAAGACAATCATTTTCTCCCAAAATGATTGAGAGCATGCTCTGTGCAGCTCAAATTTTCCTCTCAAAGCATTTAACCCAGCTATTTTAATTCTGCATTATGTCTGCATCAATTTTTCATTTACTTCCCCCTGTGAGATATTGAAAGCTTTCCTCCAGTTCAAGTAAACTACTGTCTTGGCAACCAACCTACATCTTGGAGAGCAGGGAACTGCTCAGACTTTGTGCTCTGCAATCTGCAGACTAGCTACCAAGAGAACTTATAGGAATAGGGCAGCCAGTGTCTCCTAAACCTTTTCTGAACTACATACATCCAGCCTTTTCTAAGTTAAGCTCTCCTAAGTTTGAGCAGCTATATAAAAGTGCAAGGAGTGCAGAGAGAGGTCATCTTGTGTATGTAGTTATTATTGTATTTTCTTTGTCCTGCACCTTCAAATTTTAAATATAAAACCTTGGCCTGCCTGGCAGAGGGCTCTGCTGTGAGAGGAGTCGAGAGAGAGAGAGACACTATTTTCCCACTGTTGTAAATCAGCCAGGTGTCGACACTGCCCTGCAAATTCATGACTCTCTTGTTCCAGTCAATCTGGAGCATAGAAATCCTCCTTTCCAGGTGGGAGCAAGGCAAATTCATAAAGCTATTAATGGAATTAGAATGAGGATGTTGCTTAGCTATTCCACTGGTCCTCAGGGTCATGAGGTCTTCCCACCCTGGACTAGATTTGTCCGTTATGTTAGATACTTTGACAGTTACTTACAGTAAACAGCTTTTAGCATAGTGTAATTTCAAATGCACTCCTGTAAGCATAATTCTTTAAGATGTTTAGCATCAGATTTTCTATTTAAATCGTGAATGCTACTAGTGAAATCTGGGATAGCAGATGCAATGTGTGAAGCATTCACAATGAATGAAACCTGAAACTAAAGGATGAGTTCTGCTAAAGATTTCCTGTGAAGATACAGAATGCTGATGAAGAGTTCTGCTCTTGAGGTTGAGTATAACTATCTATTTCCATAGTTTTTATTAGTAGTATTTCATATTGGTAGGTGATAGGTTAGATCTTTGAGACTTCCATAGTTCCCTGTTAAAATGTCACTATCAAATTAAAGGGAATGATGGAATGATTTAGCTGCCTCTGATTAAGTCTGTCCCTCTCTGGACACTGCTAAATATTTCTTGGCAGAGAAGACTAAGGCCTTGATCCCCAATCTGTTAAAAACAGTCTCCTTCCTTTGAAGGATCAAGCTTGCAATCAGGCCTTAGACACCAAAAACTTAGAAATACCTGAGAAAAATAAAAGTTAGATTACTGCCAGCCAAGTTACGACAGGAGGCACTGTGGTCTCATGGATAGGGCACATCAGAGGGAGTCAGGAGACCTGCATTCTATTACCAGTTCAACCACTGATCTGTGATTACCTTAAGTAAAAAGAACGAGGAGTACTTGTGGCACCTTAGAGACTAACAAATTTCCACGAAAGCTTATGCTCAAATAAATTTGTTAGTCTCTAAGGTGCCACAAGGACTCCTCGTTCTTTTTGCTGATACAGACTAACACAGCTACCACTCTGAAACCTGTTACCTTAAGTAAGTCACTCCACTTCCCTGTGCCTCTGTGTCCCTTTTCACCTTTTGTCTGCCTATTCTATTTAGATAATCTCTTTATGGTAGAGTTTGTCTTTTATTATGTGTTTATTACAGTGTCTCGCATAATGGGGACCTGATCTCATCTGGGGCTTCTCGGTGCTACTGTAACGCAAACAATAAATAATGATAACATTATCCCTTGCACACAAAACAATACCCATAAAGAGCATTTTTTGTCTTTGAAATAGAACAGATTGCAGCAAATGGCAGTAATTTTCAAAAAAATTCCCATGGAGGACACCCACACTCCTTTTGATTCTTCACTCCTCTTATAGCACATCAAAGAATACTAGTTTAATACTGTGCTCTGCTATCACCATACTCAATAGGTTTCCCAGGAACAAGTAAAACCATTTCACAAACTGCACTTAATCTAAGCCCTGGTCTACACTAGGACTTTAGGTCGAATTTAGCAGCGTTAAATCGATTTAAACCTGCACCCGTCCACACAATGAAGCCCTTTATTTCGACTTAAAGGGCTCTTAAAATCGATTTCCTTACTCCACCCCTGACAAGTGGATTAGCGCTTAAATCGACGTTGCCGGCTCGAATTTGGGGTACTGTGGACACAATTCGATGGTATTGGCCTCCGGGAGCTATCCCAGAGTGCTCCATTCTGACCGCTCTGGACAGCACTCTCAACTCAGATGCACTGGCCAGGTAGACAGGAAAAGAACCGCGAACTTTTGAATCTCATTTCCTGTTTGGCCAGCGTGGCAAGCTGCAGGTGACCATGCAGAGCTCATCAGCACAGGTGACCATGATGGAGTCCCAGAATCGCAAAAGAGCTCCAGCATGGACCGAACGGGAGGTACGGGATCTGATCGCTGTTTGGGGAGAGGAATCCGTGCTATCAGAACTCCGTTCCAGTTTTCGAAATGCCAAAACCTTTCCGAAAATCTCCCAGGGCATGAAGGACAGAGGCCATAACAGGGACCCGAAGCAGTGCCGCGTGAAACTGAAGGAGCTGAGGCAAGCCTACCAGAAAACCAGAGAGGCGAACAGCCGCTCTGGGTCAGAGCCCCAAACATGCCGCTTCTATGATGAGCTGCATGCCATTTTAGGGGGTTCGGCCACCACTATCCCAGCCGTGTTGTTTGACTCCTTCAATGGAGATGGAGGCAATACGGAAGTAGGTTTTGGGGACGAAGAAGATGATGATGAGGAGGAGGTTGTAGATAGCTCACAGCAAGCAAGCGGAGAAACCGGTTTTCCCGACAGCCAGGAACTGTTTCTCACCCTAGACCTGGAGCCAGTACCCCCCGAACCCACCCAAGGCTGCCTCCTGGACCCAGCAGGCGGAGAAGGGACCTCTGGTGAGTGTACCTTTTAAAATGCTATACATGGTTTAAAAGCAAGCATGTGAAAGGATTACTTTGCCCTGACATTTGCGGTTCTCCTAGATGTAGTCCTAAAGCCTTTGCAAAAGGTTTCTGGGGAGGGCAGCCTTATTTCATCCTTCATGGTAGGACACTTTACCACTCCAGGCCAGTAACACGTACTCGGGAATCACTGTAGACAAAGCATTGCAGTGTATGTTTGCTGGCATTCAACCAAAATCCGTTCTTTATCTCTCTGTGTTATCCTCAGGAGAGTGAGATATAATTCATGGTCACCTGGTTGAAATAGAGTGCTTTTCTTCAGGGGACACTCAGAGGAGCCCATTCCTGCTGGGCTGTTTGCCTGTGGCTAAACAGAAATGTTCCCCGCTGTTAGCCACAGGGAGGGGAGAAGGTTGAGGGGGTAGTCACGCAGTGGGAGGAGGCAAAATGCGACCTTGTAATGAAAGCACATGTGCTATGTATGTAATGTTAACAGCAAGGTTTACCCTGAAAGAGTGTAGCGACTGTTTTATAAAATGTGTCTTTTTAAATACCGCTGTCCCTTTTTTTTTCTCCACCAGCTGCATGTGTTTCAATGATCACAGGATCTTCTCCTTCCCAGAGGCTAGTGAAGCTTAGAAAGAAAAAAAAAACGCACTCGCGATGAAATGTTCTCCGAGCTCATGCTGTCCTCCCACACTGACAGAGCACAGACGAATGCGTGGAGGCAAATAATGTCAGAGTGCAGGAAAGCACAAAATGACCGGGAGGAGAGGTGGAGGGCTGAAGAGAGTAAGTGGTGGGCTGAAGAGAGTAAGTGGCGGGCTGAAGACAGGGCTGAAGCTCAAATGTGGCGGCAGCGTGATGAGAGGAGGCAGGATTCAATGCTGAGGCTGCTGCAGGACCAAACCAGTATGCTCCAGTGTATGGTTGAGCTGCAGCAAAGGCAGCTGGAGCACAGACTGCCACTGCTGCCCCTCTGTAACCAACCGCCCTCCTCCCCAAGTTCCATAGTCTCCACACCCAGACGCCCAAGAACGCGGTGGGGGGGCCTCCGGCCAACCAGCCACTCCACCACAGAGGATTGCCCAAAAAAAAGAAGGCTGTCATTCAATAAATTTTAAAGTTGTAAACTTTTAAAGTGCTGTGCTTAAAGTGCTGTGTGGCATTTTCCTTCCCTCCTCCACCACCCCTCCTGGGATACCTTGGTAGTCATCACCCTATTTGTGTGATGAATGAATAATGAATGCATGACTGTGAAGCAGCAATGACTTTATTGCCTCTGCAAGCAATGATTAAAGGGAGGAGGGGAGGGTGGTTAGCTTACAGGGAAGTAGAGTGAACCAAGGGGCGGGGGGTTTCATCAAGGAGAAACAAACAGAACTTTCACACCGTAGCCTGGCCAGTCATGAAACTGGTTTTCAAAGCTTCTCTGATGCGTACTGCGCCCTCCTGTGCTCTTCTAACCGCCCTGGTGTCTGGCTGCGCGTAACCAGCAGCTAGGCGATTTGCCTCAACCTCCCACCCCGCCATAAACGTCTCCCCCTTACTCTCACAGATATTGTGGAGCACACAGCAAGCAGTAATAACAGTGGGAATATTGGTTTCGCTGAGGTCTAAGTGAGTCAGTAAACTGCGCCAGCGCGCCTTTAAACGTCCAAATGCACATTCTACCACCATTCTGCACTTGCTCAGCCTGTAGTTGAACAGCTCCTGACTACTGTCCAGGCTGCCTGTGTACGGCTTCATGAGCCATGGCATTAAGGGGTAGGCTGGGTCCCCAAGGATACATATAGGCATTTCAACATCCCCAACAGTTATTTTCTGGTCTGGGAATAAAGTCCCTTCCTGCAGCTTTTGAAACAGACCAGAGTTCCTGAAGATGCGAGCATCATGCACCTTTCCCGGCCATCCCACGTTGATGTTGGTGAAACGTCCCTTGTGATCCACCAGAGCTTGCAGCACTATCGAAAAGTACCCCTTGCGGTTTATGTACTCGGCGGCTTGGTGCTCCAGTACCAAGATAGGGATATGGGTTCCGTCTATAGCCCCACCACAGTTAGGGAATCCCATTGCAGCAAAGCCATCCACTATGACCTGCACATTTCCCAGGGTCACTACCCTTGATATCAGCAGATCTTTGATTGCGTGGGCTACTTGCATCACAGCAGCCCCCACAGTAGATTTGCCCACTCCAAATTGATTCCCAACTGACCGGTAGCTGTCTGGCGTTGCAAGCTTCCACAGGGCTATCGCCACTCGCTTCTCAACTGTGAGGGCTGCTCTCATCTTGGTATTCATGCGCCTCAGGGCAGGGGAAAGCAAGTCACAAAGTTCCATGAAAGTGCCCCTACGCATGCGAAAGTTTCGCAGCCACTGGGAATCATCCCAGACCTGCAACACTATGCGGTCCCACCAGTCTGTGCTTGTTTCCCGAGCCCAGAATCGGCGTTCCACAGCATGAACCTGCCCCATTAGCACCATGATGCATGCATTGTCAGGGCCCATGCTTTCAGAGAAATCTGTGTCCATGTCCTGATCACTCACGGGACCGCGCTGACGTCGCCTCCTCGCCCAGTATCGCGTTGCCATGTTCTGGTGCTGCATATACTGCTGGATAATGCGTGTGGTGGTTAATGTGCTCCTAATTGCCAAAGTGAGCTGAGCGGCCTCCATGCTTGCCTTGGTATGGCGTCCGCACAGAAAAAAGGCGCGGAACGATTGTCTGCCGTTGCTCTGACGGAGGGAGGGGCGACTGACGACACGGCTTACAGGGTTGGCTTCAGGGAGCTAAAATCAACAAAGGGTGTGCCTGTACATCAAGGAGTATTTCAGGCAGGACTGCACGGAGGGTTCCAATAAGAAATGGTGCACCTAAGTTATCGTTGTTATTGGAACAAGGAGGTTAGCCTGGCCTCTGATTGATACATGGCTAGATTTACCTCGCTGCACCTTCTCTGTGAGTGACTGCAGTGTGATCTAGACAGGGGAGGAGGCAAATGAGTACAAAACAAATCTGGTCTATTTCTTGTTCTGACCCACTCCATCTATCTTTTACATCTTTGGCTGGCAGCAGACGGTGCAGAAGGACTGCATGCCATCCACATCTCATGGCTGCTCGGCAGAAGATGGTACAGTACGACTGCTAGCCATCTTCATCTCTTGCCTGCCTGGCAGAAGATGGTACAATACGACTGCTAGCAATCCTCATCTCTTGCCTGCCTGGCAGAAGATGGTACAGTACGACTGCTAGCAGTCCGTATCGCCTGCCCGCTCACCATAAGACGGTTCAATAGGACTGACTGCAGGACTAAAGAGAATGACCTGGTCAAGTCACTCCAAATGTAGTCCCTGCGCCCATGTCTGCCCAGGCGCTCCCAGCCGACGTGGCCAGGAGCACCTCGGACACGACGAGGACGACTACCAGTCGTATTGCACCGTCTGCTGCCAGAAGGCAAGGGGTTGCTGCTACTGTGCAGCAAAGCCGTACCGCGTCTGCCAGCACCCAGGAGACATAGGGTGACGGTTTCCTGAGCTGGCTCCATGCTTGCCGTGGTATGGCGTCTGCACAGGTAACTCAGGAAAAAAGGCGCGAAATGATTGTCTGCCCTTGCTTTCACGGAGGGAGGGAGGGAACGGGGGGCTGACGATATGTACCCAGAACCACCCGCGACAATGTTTTAGCCCCATCAGAGTGCTCCATTGTGACTGCTCTGGACAGCACTCTCAGATGCCCGATTGTTTGCCATTGCTCTGACGCTGGGAGGGGCGCTTACAGGGTTGGCTTCAGGGAGCTAAAATCAACAAAGGGGGTGGCTTTACATCAAGGAGTATTTCAGGCAGGACTGCACGGAGGGTTCCAATAAGAAATGGTGCACCTAAGTTATCGTTGTTATTGGAACAAGAAGGTTAGCCTGGCCTCTGATTGATACATGGCTAGATTTACCTCGCTGCACCTTCTCTGTAAGTGACTGCAGTGTGATCTAGAAGAATGAGTCCCCTAGACAGGGGAGGGGGGGAAGCAAATGAGTACAAAACAAATCTGGTCTATTTCTTGTTTTGATCCACTCCATCTATCTTTTACATCTTTGGCTGGCAGCAGACGGTGCAGAAGGACTGCATGCCATCCACATCTCATGGCTGCTCGGCAGAAGATGGTACAGTACGAGTGCTAGCAGTCCGTATCGCCTGCCCGCTCACCATAAGACGGTTCAATAGGACTGACTGCAGGACTAAAGAGAATGACCTGCTCAAGTCACTCCAAATTTAGTCCCTGCGCCCATGTCTGCCCAGGCGCTCCTGATCGACCTCACAGAGGCGACCAGGAGCACCTCAGACATGACGATGACGGCTGGGAGGGAACGGGGGGCTGACGATATGTACCCAGAACCACCCGCGACAATGTTTTAGCCCCATCAGGCATTGGGATCTCAACCCAGAATTCCAATGGGCAGCGGAGACTGCGGGAACTGTGGGATAGCTACCCACAGTGCAACGCTCCGGAAGTCGACGCTTGCCTCGGTACTGTGGAAGCGCTCCGCTGAGTTAATGCACTTAATGCACTTAGAGCATTTTCTGTGGGGACACACACACTCGAATATATAAAACCGATTTCTAAAAAACCGACTTCTATAAATTCGACCTAATTTCGTAGTGTAGACATACCCTAAATGCATCTGCCAACGATATTGCCTGTATGCCAGGCTATGGATGTGAGAAAAGGTTTTTGTTTAATGGGAACACAAAAGAATAGATTTTTCTGTCCCACAAGCCGCCTCTTTCTAGACCAACACAAGCTCCCCTGGGATTGGGATTTATCACAGGTTTAAGATGGGGGAGGGGATTTTGTGGCAGAACATTACACTTCGGATAGCTTCAGAGCTACCTGTTCCAGTGCAAACAGGACCCAGCCATGATGGATGAACTGACTTCTGTTAGCATACCTGGGTAGTTCTTGCACTCTAGGACACCGAAAAGAAGGAAGCTAGGAGGCAGGAATGTCTGTGTCCCTTGCACCCCACACAAGCCATATGAGCTGGTCCACTACACACGTGTGTACAAGGAGCAGCACTGGAGAGACAGTGCCCATGTAGGGCACAGCTTCTGGTACTCCTCCAGGAGTGGTGTGCCTCCACATGGCCCAGGGCTGTGATATAAAAGCCTCTATCTAATGTATAGTTTAGGATCCTTCAGGATGAAAGGTGCTACATAGCTAAGATAGAATGTCGCTGTTTTGGACACTTAAATATACAGTAAGTGGAAAGCTGCAGATCCTGTGATGTTAGCATCTTTTATCATAGCCTTTCAGATGTCCTTCTTCAAATAAACAAGAGTCTCAGTAAGCATGTGGATTCCGCACTAGTTCAAAGCCTAGTTTGTTCACCAGGAATGCTTTGACCCATTGTCTTTATACTCACATTCCCACACCCAATATGTCTAGGTGACCTCCCTTTGCTCACCCATTCCTGAAGCAGGACTTTCCTGACACATTGTTTAGACTACAAGAGACTGGTTTTCCTTCCCCTTTCATCCTTTGTATCTTTTCAACCTATGCCTTATCTCCAGCCTGAAAGATGGGATAAGTTGCTCCTTTATTTGATTGTTGATCCAGGCTGCTACTCAGGGTGCTCTGGGTGATAGGGCCAGCATTTCCACTCCATAGCCTCAACCTGTAGGCATATAGGGCTGGAAGAAATTGGCTTTAGCTGATAATCAATATTGGCTACATATTTCAGAGTAACAGCCGTGTTAGTCTGTATTCGCAAAAAGAAAAGGAGTACTTGTGGCACCTTAGAGACTAACCAATTTATTTGAGCATGAGCTTTCGTGAGCTACAGCTCACTTCATCGGATGCATACCGTGGAAACTGCAGCAGACATTATATACACACACAGAGATCATGAAACAATACCTCCTCCCACCCCACTGTCCTGCTGGTAATAGCTTATCTAAAGTGATCATCAAGTTGGGCCATTTCCAGCACAAATCCAGGTTTTCTCACCCTCCGCCCCCCCACCCCCCCACAAACTCACTCTCCTGCTACATAATTACTAATATGAAAGCAGCTCCCAGGAGTCTCAATCAAGACTCCTGTGCTTGGTACTGTACAAACACAGTAAAATGACAGTCCCTGCCCTATAAAGCTTGCAGTGTGCTGCCTAGAACCTGGAAAACAAATTTCCATCACTGATATTCTAAATGTCTGAAAAGTGAAAGTAAGCATGTCTTGTGGGTTAATAAAAAGGTGTGTGTGTGTGTTTGTTGCGGTATGAAAGAATAAGTTATTTTATTACGGTTGATTATTAAATGTTAAGAAATGTGTTATGAAACATCAGGTAAGTTATTTCTGAATCAGTTACAACTTCTGCAGTCATTGCAGTTCTGCACTAGCAAGATATTAAAACCCACAAAAGACACTAACTCTCATAGGGTCCACACACTGGTAGGGGCGCCTCCTCCTGGCCACTCTGGGAATTAGCTCCTCCCAGGTCCGGGGCCCCCTTTTGTGCTCACTGCATGCCCTACCACTGTGCTGTCTCAGGGCATGTCTATGCTTCAAACTTAA